TTCTACATTTGGTTTTCGCATCTTTATGTTATGTTAATGTAATGGATGGATTTGAAAAGTAAATTGAAAGAAAAAAATCGACGTTGAAGAAAATTCAATATCCAACTTTTATATACTTAATTTTTTTAATTGTCATGAAATAACTCAAAAATGTACGTTGTCAGTGAGAAACATAGGCTATGTTTTATAATATTTTTTTAATTTCACGCGGAAAGAGTCGCGGGCGAAAGTTAGCATTGATTCAATTCAGAATTATATTAATCAGTCTTTAACTGGGATTAAATTACTAATTTATTATTAATCGAATTCAATACATTAAATAAATTTGTAATTATGTAAGTCCCACAAAACGGTTACGATCCACCGTAAATTTGTCTTACATTTACGGTCTATTATTTGCAAGAATTCATCGCGATGTAATTCCATAAAGTCCACTTGAGTAACATTAAATTGTTTTATTCAATGTTTATGTTCCAGTAATCACAATAAGAAGATAATGGTATCAATTATTATTAATAATAATGGTTACTCTTTTGTTAAAATAAATTAAATAACGTAGAAAAAGTTAGCAGTGAATAGAACATTGTAGTTTTCATGTGCTCCTAGTAACTTAACATAGCGTTTGTACGTCAAACTTTTACATTCCTTTCACATGTTTATGTTCTCCTGGTACATTTTAAAAATCACATTACAAGTTTCGCCAGTGACTCCGTCCGCGTGGAGTTAATAAAACACAAAAGTAAGTAGCCTATGTGTTCTTCCAGATTAGCCTCTACATCTATACCAAATTTAATTGAAATCCGTTCAGCCGTTTAGGCTACAAACTCTAACAAACATCCATCCAAACTTTCGCATTTAAAATATTAGTATGAAAGTGAGAAGTATGATTGGTATGATTTAATATTATGAAATTTAACTTATATATCTCATTTATGTAGTTTCTGCCATGTTTACTTGCAATTGATATCTTCTTTACATTTAAAATGTGTTCAGCGACAACTAAGGGCTAAATTGTTAGTTAACACTAGCATATTACACTGTCTAGGAACGTTTGTTAAACACGAGTTGCAGTTGTTTATATTCTTCAAACATGTAGTCACAAAGAGCGTCAAACTATGCTCGCTTCCAAGTTAATACGTCGTATACAAACGAATTCCTAACGGACCCTCGCGGATGTATGTTTTAAGCAATGTTTGTAAGTTTTAGCACGTTCACGAAGCATTGTCAAGTAAATTTTATTAAGAACGTTTAGTGACCATCGACCATTAGCTTGTCTAGATTTCAATAATGGCCTAATATTAGTATCTTTCCTTTCCTACCGTTACTTATACGGAAAGGTTGGGAAGAGAAAGTAGTTTTGGTGGAGTAGACGCATAGGTAGGGAAAATATCCTCTTTATGTGCGTCTCCTTCTCCATTGATTAAGGGTAGGCAACGCATCTGCAATTGTAGATGTATGTGGGCACCGATCGCTTTGCTTTCGCTCTTTCGATTGCTTATTTGCAATCTTATATAATAAAAATGATGATGTCAGACTTAGCTGTCTTCTTTAATTTACGTATATGTTGTTGTTATCATCTTCCAATCCTTATCCCACTTAAGTAATTGTCAAGTTTTCTTCTATCTTCAGACGTTTCATGCAGTCAATCCATATTAGACCTACCTCTGCCGGCTACCGGTCTCCTTGTCACAAGCGATTCTTCCATCTTTATAACATACTTATCGTGATAACCCTGGTTGAAATCACTAATCTGGGTGCGCAGCAGTGCACCCGCCAAGGCGAGCACAGCCAAACACTATTTCCTCAAAGCGCTTCAGGGCACTTTTGACCCCCTTGTAACTTCGTTGTGGACTAAGATGGAAGCTTGAAATTTTGAACATCAATAGATATACCGCAATTCATTATATAGCCAAAATATCTTTCAATTACATTCAGCAGTTTACAAATTATAGCTAGTTGAAATCTTCATTTTTTTTTACACAAATGCGTGTTTATTATATTAAGAAACAAAACCAAAATGTATTTTAACGATGAGGTTAACAGAAAGACGACACTAATCTACCAGAATATGGTTTTAAATCGGTAAAAAATGCCGGATAAAATACGATGTCTGAAATTCGTATAATCTCAGGATCGTTGTTGATTCTTCACAAGATACGCTTTTAAGTCATTTCAGAATTCCTTTTACGCGTTCAACTTTTATAGAATGGCTACTCGTTTTCTTTGAAGAATTGTCATGGGTATCTTGAAAACTACGTACGTACTTTTGTGAGAAAAGGTTTAGTAAAGATTTATAACAAGTCAATTGCATTTATTTTTATTTGAATTATGTTATATATTAGTGTTACTTTTCAGTTAAAAAAAAAAGATATAAAAGGATGAAATAAAATGAAAATGTGAAACAGGCTTTATACACTGATTTTATAGCCTTGATATTTTCTACTTAATTAAAAGTTCTTGGCTCCTGTTACGATAAGCTTAAAATGTTTTAGAGCTGTAAGTGATTACTAAAATGACTTAAACTAGATTATCCTGAGTTTGCTTAAATATAATTAATTGTTCAGTTTGTGCGATTAAGATGTTAAGGGTGTACTTAATTGATTTAATGTTTCGGTGTATATATCAGTCAAAATAAATTTTCCTTAGTGATGAAAATGAGATGAGAGCGTCGGTGGCTCAGGGGTTTAAGCACTTGACTTGTAATCTACAGGTCTTGGGTTCGATTCCCGCTATGTACCAATGTGATATTCGATTTTTCGAATTTTCATATGTACATAATTTAACCGACGTTCTTACGGTGAAGGAAAACATGGTGATGCAACCTACACATATCGGCGAAGAAATTCAAAGATATGAAGTCAACCAACCCGCGCTTGGCCAGCGTGGTTGACTATGGCCTAGTCACCCCATAAGGGTAGGCTCCGAGCCCCTCGGTGGGAACGTATAGTGAGCTGGTGATGAAGATGATGATGAAAATAACAGATTATATAACTCGGTATTTTATTAATTTATTAAAAAGTTTATTTTCGTATTTACCAGTGTTCAAATATAAAGTTTAACTTTATTTATTTATTTAAAACTTTATGTACAACAATAAATTTACAAATATTTAAACTATGCTAATACAAAATATGTGCAAGGGTGGCCTTTTTGCTATAAGCAATATCTTACAGACACATGGGTATTTATTGACAATTAAATTCACCATTAGATTTTTATAAATTAAAGCTTCAATTTTTATTAAAATATGTAAAAAATCATTCTTACACTTAGTTAATAAAAAAAAAACGTTATGAAATCAAAACTAATTGAAGCTACCTAAGAGTGTACGCACACCTGATACAAAACTATCGCATAACCGTTTTATCTAACTATCTTATATGGAGATGCGCACACTACACGATTTTGGCGTAACTAAACAGTTGAATTGGCTGCTAAACAATCTACTATACAACTGTTCCTCGTTAGTGTAGTCTAAGGTGTGCGCCCGCTCGTAATCTCGAAGCGTTGATTTTAATATCGCAAAGGCGAGCGTCATATGACATGGCAACATTACGTAGTTTTCGTAATCCAAGGTTGCTGAGTGAAAGTGCGGCGCGGGCCACTTTCACCGCGGATCAACGCAGTACCAAACACAAATAGTTTATTGCCACTTTGTTATATGCTTTGTACAAGAAAGGATACCCGAATAATTGAAAAGATTACTAAGGTATTTAATAATTACTTTGTCTATACTTCTTTACTATTATAATAAAGCTTAAACACACACTTCCTTGTTGCCTAAGATGTCAGCAATTACAGCATATTTTTGATGAATTCTTTTTTAGTTAAAAGCCCTACAATTACGTCACGCTTTAGGCTATATATTTTTACGCCATTAAACTTAGGGGGTAATTTATCTGTGAGTGTAGATAGAGATTTTTTATTATTTTTTAACTACACGCAGACGAAGTCGCGAGGAACAGCTAGTTTATAATAGTTCCGTTATTTACAGCCTTTATGAGACTTATATGCCACAGTTCTATCTCGAATGTTGTTTACTTTAGGACAGTTAATTAGAAAAGTTTAATTTAGAAAACTTGGATAGTTACTGACGTCACTAAGTTAATAACATAACCTTGCATAGTTACTAACGTAACTGAGTTAAGTTTGAACATAACTTTGTAAGACAGAAAGTAACAACTTGCATTTTGCAGCGACATGACGGAGCAATCGTCAATTTATTGCAATCCGGATAAAACCGTCTTTTCTTATTTCCTTTTCGTAATGAATTTTCTCTCATTCTTAAAGTAAGGTTTACTTTCGACTTCTTTTTAGCACTTTAATTATTTCTTTAATTTTAATACCTTCCTTTACTTCAGATTTTACTTATTGGAAGACATAACGAGATTTTTTCTATACTTTATGGTACTTCTTTTATTTATAGTCACACTTAGGTTATTTCCAAAGAGTCAAATTTCAATAGAATTATTTGAAAATGATAGCGAGATCTATTTTAAAGAATGTCAAAAATTAAAAAAAGTGTAAATAACTATTTGTAACTGAATTCTCTTCAACTTTTCGACTTTTAGTCGATAAGTATCTCTGCGCGGAAAATTCCCACTGGACTAGCACTAACGGAGACGGCCGTAAAATAAATTTCATTGTAACCAAGGAAGCGTTTGCACGGAACATTAAATTTTCAGTGATCCTTTGCCCGTATAAAAATCTACGTCTTTGTGCTGGTCCCCGAAATATCTCCCTGTTGGGACATGTTTTAATTGTATCCCTTTTACTGTTTGGGATATTTCACTTTGAGTTATTCTATAATAAATTCTATTACAACGGTAATAAAAAAAAAACTTTTCCCGATAACGATCGGGAAAAGTTTTTTTTTTTCAATTCGATTAGAACTTTAAAATTTGAATTACATATTATTTTCGAGCTATTTTTGTATAATGGCTAGTCTTCTGTGTCTATTCTAAAAAAAGTAAATTTAATTTTAAATCTGATAATTCCAGGGTCGTCGCTACAACTGCCGGGGATCATGCACGTGGACCGCAACTGGTTCGTGACGTCACGCGACCCGGTGGGCACGGTGGTGACACGCGTACAACCGGAGAGTGCGGGCGGGGCGCGCGTACGCTACGGTCTCGAGACCAGCGGGCCACCTGCTCCCTTCACCATCGACTCTGACACTGGCATAGTCACTGTCAACGATACCCTGGTTGACAAGGTATGGTTCTAAATTTAAAGTAATTGAAAGTATCAATTTTCAAAACGTATGGCCTGTTTCCGAGATACGTTTAACGATTCGTGAGTGTTCTTGTGATATTACAAATGAGAAAGTTTCGATGGATAGATGGATGGATGTTTGTTGGAGTTTGTAGCTGAAGCAGCTGAACGGATCTCGATGAATAGTCTGGAAGAACACACAGACTACTTTCTTTTTTATTTCGACACGGATAGACTCGCGGGTAAAAGCTAGTGTTAAAATAAATTGACTTCAGTAACAGTATTAACGTTTCTTATTTTTATAGGAAAATCAAACATACTCATTATGGGTAACGGCTGATGATGGATCGATTCCCCAAAGACTGGAAGTACTCGCGATGGTAACCGACCGGTCAGGTCAGAGACCGAAGCTACCTCGCCCACCATTCGACTTACCGAACTATCCAAACATACCCGACCTATCGAGTCTACATCAGCTAACAAAATTCACAAGAACCACACAAAGAACAACCAAAGCAACCACTGAATTAATCGAAGATATAACAGTACCTCAAACGACACCTTACACTACCAAAAAACCTGATAAAATAGAAAAAACGACAGATAAAGTAGAAAAACTAGGACAAGAAGATATTAAAAACAACACTAAAGTACAAGAGACGCCTATAGGAAGTGACGTATCACTAACAATAATACCACTTATTGCGATTGGTGGCTTAGTTGTCATCGTGGCGGCAGTAATCATATTCGTCTGTAAAAAGAACGGTTCCAGCGGACAGAAGAGCAAAAAGGATGACATGGTGAGTCACGATTCTCTATTCTCTCTCTCTTCTATTCCTATGTCCCCAAATTGGGGCAGAGGGCGTTCACAGTACGCTGCCAGATTGCTCTGTCTTGGGCTCTGCGTTATGTCTCAGACCATGACAGCCCGATTGCCTCTAAACTCTCTCGATAGTGAGTCACACTCTAACTTAAATCCTATAAATAATGATAGTATTTGAATGAATAATGATTCATTGTTTGTACTTATTTATTTAATGCAAATAAATTTAAAAGGATCATTAATAAAGCGCATTTTGTATAAATAAGAGTTACCGCATGATTGATATACAAGATCGTCATAACGTATCTAGTTAGAGTCTATTAAAAGAAATAGTTTCACAGTGTACATTTATTTGACTTATATTTAATTTGTTAAAGGGTCTATAGCCCTTGTTAATATTAGCGTAACTATTTCACCTTAATTTTATTAATATCGCAACAACTCATCAAGCTTAGAGAGATTAAAACACATACTTAAATCTCCTTTAAATCTTTTTACTTCATTATCATTTTAAACAAAATCAGTATTCAGTTTTGACACATTTGATCACCACATCAATTGAAATGTGTCCTCGCTCGCCTTTCTATCATCAAAATATATCAAATCATTGTCATACCTCATCTATACTATTGTAATAAAGCGGAAACACACACTTCTTTGTTGCCTAAGATGTCAGAAATTACAGCATGTTTTTGAATAATTCTTTTTTAATGTTATAAAAAGCCCTACACTTACGTCACGCTTTAGGCTATAATATTTTCACGCTATTAAACTTAGGGGGTAAATATTTTGGATAAAAAATAATGTGGGAAAGAGATCATACGTTGTTGTCAACATCAAGGAAGTAAGGTTGCCATGCTTTGTCATCATGTCATGTCATTTTGACATTTGAAATTAATAATTTGACACATATAACAATAAAAAAAATCATAATTTTACGCGGATGAAGTGACACGGGAACAGCTAGTACTATTATAAATGCGTAAATTTAGAGGTTAGAGTTTCTAGCCTTAACCGCTGAACGGATTTCGATGAAATTGGGTACGTAGATGATAGTCTGGAAAAACAAGTAGGCTACTTACTCACTTTTGTTTTTTTTTAACATCACGCGTACGGAGTTTAAAGTGAGAGTACGAATATTACTTTAAAGTGAGCCGTATTGTCCACAGAGCAAAGACTCGAGTGGCATCGTGCTACAAGACGCGTCAATCAACATGTGGGATCGCCCGCGAGCTTACTCTAACAGATACGAGTCCTGGGATAACGGACATTTACAGGTCAGTTTGTTGACCTTCATTTGATTTTCTTAATAATCAATCAGAACCATCTAAGAGACAATTGTTTTATACACAATTTTGTCTCGAAAAATTCTTAATACAAATTGTTTATCTATACTTCTATACTTATCATGATGAGGAAAGATTTGTTTTTTTCTATGTATTGAAATAACTCAAAAACTACTGCTTCAGTTTAAAAAAATCCACTGTTAAAGAGCTACGTTATCACTGAGCAACATAGGCTATGTTTTTAATTAATTTTAAATTATGCGTGGACGAAGTCGCGAGCAATAACTAGTTACTGATAAAGGCATAAAGCGAGAACACAATTCATGACAAATTAGACGTTTAATGTCTATTTGAATTATATAAGTACTATGAAAATTGAGTAATCTTAATAAGATTACCCAAAATCCCTGAATCTGTTAATCTATAAAAAAAATTATCTAGTTTTTAAGGTTATGAAACATAACATTTAATATTTTTCGCGCAAATTGTCTCAAATTACAACCCTCTACTATTTATTATTCTTCGTAGTCGCAATGTCGACAGATATATGACACATTTTATAGTTCAAAATTATAGCCCTTTGTATGTAGAGTCTGGAAGAAATTTTTGTAAGACCGTAATTTACATAATGTATTAAAGAAACTTCCACTCATAACATACATTTATTAAATAACTTTTAACTACATATCTATACTATTATAATAAAACGTAAACACACACTTCTTTGTTGCCTAAGATGTCAGCAATTACAGCATATTTTTGAATAATTAATTTTTTAATAAAGAGCCCTACACTTACATGCTTTAGGCTATATATTTTCACGCCATTAAACTTAGGCGGTAAATATTTTGGATAAAAACCCTAATGTGGGAATGAGACCATAAGTTGCTGCACACATCAAGGAAGCAAGGTTGTCATCGTATCATGTCATTTTGACATTTGTAATTGATAATTTGACAAATGTAAACAAAAAAATAAAATTTTCATAATTTCGTGCGGATGAAGTGGCACGGGAACAGCTAGTTGTCAAATAAAATACAAGGAATTTAACTAGTATATTAGTATTCATAATTAGTATTTTCTATAGCTCTCAGAGGAAACTACAATCAGCAAAGAAGAGCCGCCAGATGAATGGGAGTTTCCGAGACATCGACTCAAAATATTCAATATTCTTGGAGAAGGTGCTTTTGGACAAGTATGGCGCGCACAAGCAACCGACATAGATGGTAAGACAGATAGACAAATAAATAACAAATTGCAGCAACCAGAATTTTTAAGTTTCAATCATACTAAATCTACAATTTCGATAATATGAGGACCTACCTACAGCAGTGCTGTACATGGTATGTTATTAAGCAAATAAAACTGTTAATAAAAATTTAAGATGTAGATAATACATACGTTTAATCTATACTCAATATTATAAAGAGGAAAGATTTGTATTTTTGTATGTATTGAAATAACTCAAAAACTACGCAGCCGATTATAAAAATTATTTCACCAATAAAAAGCTACTTTATCAGTGAATAACATAGACTGCCTATCTTATTATTTTTTAATTTCACGCAGATGAAGTCGCGAGCAACAACTAGTACTAAATAAATATTGACTATTAACGAGTTCATTGGCTCTATTTAGAGTATTTTTAAAGCAGACGTCTTTTGTTTTCATGAAAAATATGCAATAGTTAATCAAACAGCGAATCTAGATTTCAAAATTGTTTGATCAAGTTTTTATGTTAGAAAACAATATAAACGATTGATTAATTCGCACCGACAGCTTCGGTACTCGTTCAATTTATATTGTAGACGGCGACCATTAATTTTAAAATATTTTCCCTTTTACTATTTTCGTGAGTAGTCACAAAAAAGTGCTATTTCTCTTATCGCAACGCTACACAGTAGTGGTTATATGACCTTCGCCGTTAGCCTGTTCTAGAAATCCTTGAATACCGTGATGCCTATTTTCTTATGGCCTGGCTGATAGAGGCTCAGATAGCATAAAAATGACGTCACTGTCAGATAAGGGAACTAAATCCTATATTCCCATCACATATTTTACACGTTGGATTGTTATTAGACAATTTATAATTTAGTGGGACAGGCCCTAATTCTTTAATTTTTTTTGTGTGGCTGTTGTATCAAACTGTTTAAATTTCAAACATAACTTACAGGACAAAAAGGCGAACAAACTGTAGCTGTGAAAACACTCAAAGAAAACGCTTCAGAGAAAGAAAAAAGTGATTTGCTGCAAGAGCTGATTGTGATGAAGAATTTGGGCACACATCCTAACGTTGTTCGACTGATTGGATGTTGCACCGAGAAGGTAATCATATTGCGAAAGTTTAGATGGATGGATGTTAGAGTTTGTAGCCTAAACGGCTGAACAGATTTCGATGAAATTTGGCATAGACGTAGAGGATATTCTGGAAAATAGGCTACTCAGTTATGTTTTTTAATTCTACGCGAACGGATTCGCGGGCAAAGCTAGTATTTCAATAAAAATCGAACATCACGTTTCAAAATTAATATTGCAAAGTTCAACACAAAAATCAATGTTGGCAATCTCTATTTCGTCATCAATATCAATCAAAGAGGAGGAGGAGGAGAGGATTTGTTATGGAGGTTCTTATTTTCTTTTAATATATTCCAGGAGCCAACGCTGGTTATAATGGAGTATGTGAGCTTGGGCAAGCTTCAACAGTTCCTGCGGGAGTCTCGCGCTGGTCGGCACTACGGGAATACGCACGCTGGTAGCCTCTTCCTCACCTCACGGGACCTCACGCACTTCGCTTACCAAGTCGCGCGCGGAATGGACTTCCTCAGCAGCAAGGGGGTAAGTGACCTGATAGGACCTCACGAAATTCATACTCGTACTGTGTATAGTACGGTAAAGGCATACTATCTAATCTCATGTACAATCGCGGAAATCCGTGCTGTTCCATTACAGTAAATATTGCCTTGTTTATTGCAACGAGACAAACTAATTAATTAAAGCAGGGTGTACAAACGAAAGAATAATGATAATAATAATAAAAACTGGCATTGTGTCACTGGTCGCCTTTTTTTGTACAGACACGTGTACGCTGTGCAGTATTGATTTATGTTCCGCGTCTCGTTTCAAAATGTTCAAACGATAGCTTCTGAGGTGGAACACCGTCAATGTCCCCGATTGTACCTCACCACAGCAAATTTTCTTCTATAAAAATGATTTATTTCGAATAACTTTCTGTAACTCCTCAGACTCTTTATTAGATTCTTTATTCGCAAAGGGTTATTCTAAGAATTCAGATGTCAATTTTAATTGGGGGTCAAATTAAGTCGAAAGTAACAATATTCAACTTTTATGAACAGTAAACTTAGAAAAAGTTATCTCACGCTAATATCGTGATATCAAAATTTTATAGCCTATTCCGAAAGCTTGATTCAATCAGAAGGGTCACTTTTATAACGCATGTTGTTCAAAATGAAAACGTGACCAAAATAACTGCCTAATTATTTGTTTTGCTTTGACTGTTTGCACGTAAATGGTAACAAGTATTAGGTTGTTCGGAAAGTCATTTCGTTTTTTTTGGGGAACATGAAAGACAGTTTATGAACATAACATAAAGACATGGCCATAAACAGTCGAATTCGACAAATTTAATCTCTCACCGATCTCTCGTGTGGTTATTCGCCGATTTACATCAACTAATGTTTTGACCGTGGTGCATCTTCGACATCAAAATTGCCGGATCGAAATTTTGCAAACCAGTTCTGGCACTGGTGTACTGTTAACACGCCTTCTCCATACACATCCGTCAATTTTTTTCTCGCTTGGACAGCATTTTTACCTTTTCTGAAGTAAAAAAATAAAATGTGACGAAAATGCTGCTTTTTGTCTCCATATTTAAAAGGACACCAACCAAAAACTACTGTGTAGAATTAATAGAACTTTTTCACACACAAGCCTTACAATATCAGCTCTCAAGACATATAATGGTTATGCGGCTTAAGTGTGAAGTTGGTTTCGAAAAAACGTAATTAAGTCCTCTGACGGAAAAAACGAAATTACTTTCCGAACAAACCAATACATTGAATGATTTTTTAAAGTTATGTTTAGAAATTAACTTTTGATCGTTATTACGTCAGCTTGGATTAAAAAAAAAACAAAAGTAGTCTATGTGCTCTTACAGACCTCTACGTTAATTCCAAATTTTATCAAGATTCATTTAGCAGTTACTCGTATAATTTTAGACAGATCAAGTAATTTTATTTATTTACTGAAATTATTGACAAATAATCTACTACAGTATGTATTTCACTTAACACTAATGACTGACATAATTAAGAAGTCAAAGGGGAAAGTTGTGTTCATAACAGCAGAAACTCTAGATCCGAACATTCGTTATTTATAATTTAAGATTGACAAACCGTTATTGATAAACCCTTTAGTGTATTAATTGGTTTAATTCTATATGTGGTTTCATTACAGATAATTCACCGCGACTTGGCTGCTAGGAACGTCCTGATCACTGAGGAGAGGACGTGCAAGGTCGCTGACTTCGGGCTGGCGCGCGACGTCGCTGGAACTCATGTGTATGAAAGGAAGAGTGATGGCCGGTTGCCTATCAGGTAATGTCATCCTATTTACAACTAGGTTTCTTAATTCTTTGATCAAAAACCTGGTAAAAACTTATCACCAGCTCACGATAACAGGGGTTTGGAACCTACCCTAAGTTAGCGTGACTAACCCTTAGTCAACCACGCTGGCCAAGTGCGTATTGGTTGACTTCACTCATATCTTTGAATTTCTTCACAGAGACGTGCAAGCATTACAATGTTTCTTTTCATCGTAACAACGTCGCGTAAATTATGTACACATGAAAATCAAACATCAATTTGGTACCACGAGATTCGAACCCAAGACTGGCTGAACATTTCATATCTACAAAAGTTTTGTTTCGTAAAATGATATTAGGTGATAAAATAATGATTTGTCTCCAGATGGATGGCGCCGGAGTCCCTGTACGATGATATATTCAGCGTGAAATCAGATATATGGAGTTTCGGCGTGCTGCTGTGGGAGATAGTGACGCTCGGCTCCACGCCCTACCCCGGCCTCTCCGCGGGCGACGTCATGCGAAAGGTGACAAACTATAAATCGCACTTATTTACTCGTATTCATAAGAGTAATATTCCCAAAAAACATATATATCGTATAAACATAATTAACTCAAAAATACTTTTGTTTTTCTAATTCCACGCGGACGGAATCGCGGGCGAAAGTTACCTTTATACAGTTGGAATTTTACCAAAATCTTCACAAACAAAAATCTAATATAACATGTGTTTTCAGGTGCGTGATGGACATCGTCTAGAGAAGCCGGAGCATTGTCGTCGGGAACTCTACAACATAATGTACTACTGCTGGGAGGCCGAGCCCAGCGCTAGACCAGACTTCAAGGAAGTAGTCGCCATGTTGGAAAGATTGCTCTGTACTGAAATGGACTATATCGAATTGGAAAGATTCCCAGATCATTCGTATTACAATGTACAGAATTTAGAAGGCGAGAAAGTGTAATGTGCAATTTAAGGATAGTATATAAATTATTAGTATTTCTACTAAAGTGCTTTATTTTTTTATGTTTTTATTGTGGATTCAGCATTAATATTAAGTAACGTGTTAACTTAAATGAATCTTAATGTAGGCTTGAGGTCTTGGAATGATAATTTAAGTTGTTAAAATTTATAGCAAGATATTGAAAAGTTGTAAAAAAATATAACTAAATCAGTCACGTCCTTTAAAAAAAGCCGTTATATAATTACTGACGTCTATTAAAAAAAAACACGACAGTGTTAGCCGTTAAATAATTAGTTATATAAATTTATTTCGAAAATCTAAACAATTTAAAAATATTCTCAGATTTAGAACATGCAAAAAAATCTATAGTTCTTAATATTAATCGACTATTCGATTCTTTTCTATGGTAACAAATACAGATCGGGCAATACGTTATTTTTTTTAATTTAACAATTTCAATCATCTGGAATCTGTTATTGCTAGTAAGATTAAAAAAAATACAATAAAAAAGGCTGCAGATTAAATTTTAAGGTATAATGTATTAACCATTTCAATTTGAGATATATTTGATATTTTAGATAATAAAAGTATAATGCCGACCACTTATAAGTATTCCATCCAAATATTATGTGTTTAACTAAAAAGGTAAGCATTTGGTATCCCTAAAATGTTTTTAAATCGCATATAAATACCTTAAAAATGTCATTTAAGTCTTATCCAATAAAATGCTGAATGTAGGTTCGTTTTATTTTGAGTGTTGATTTTTCATTGAACGAAATAATTATAGGTAAACGAACCAATAATGGATGATGAGATTATTCACAAAAATATGTGTAAATAAGGGAATTTTGTTCATATATAGCGACTAGTCCTTAGATATATTTATCTTAATATCTGTACAGCAATTACTTGTTTAATTTTTAGTTCTAAGAATTTTAAATTCAATAAAAAGTTTTGTTGCGGTAACTTTTGCGTTTCATTTCCTAACTATAATAATAATAATAATAATTGAAATCAACTACCATTATTCCGATAGTCGTTTCGGCACACGGGCTGATAGCGAAGAGCCTCGACCAACACCTCAAGAAGCTCTCGCTAGACAGTTGGATTAAGGGCCCGATACAAAAGGCGGTTATTTTAGAAACCGCACGACTAGTGAGGAGGTTCCTGTCTCTGCAGCCCTGACCACTGGTTGCTTGAGTCATCGGATTCCGCAGCCGGTGGACTTACTATTTTTTTATATAATATGTTTTATTTTGTTATTTTTTTTAAGAAAATCATGTGAAATGTATTATATATAAAAATAAGAGAATAAAGATATGTGATAATAATAATAATAATAATCATTTAATCTATTCAGACTAACTATCTAACTAGTTGTTCCAGTGCGGGTTCAACAAAGAAGTGTGTGTTTACGCTTTATTATAATAGTATAGTATAGATAATTCTAATGTAATTAGTATGATAAATCTTCACAAGATATTTTATCACGTTACTTTGTGAATTTATTTGATACTAACTGTTCCCTGCGACTTCGCCTGTGTATAATTAAAAAATAATACAGAACATAGCCTGTGTTACACACAAATAAATTGCCTTATTAATGTATTTTTTTTTAAATTGGCCCAATAGTTTTTGCATGAATCAAATACATCAAAAATCGAGCAATACAAAGGTTTCCTCTTTATAATATCAGTATCGATGGATTTGCTAACCCTTTACAATTTGTCTAGATAAATTACAAATGTAAGGTACTCATCGATGAAATGGGATATTAAAACGGTAAATAATAATTACAACAATTATTTAAAGCTGGTACACAAAAGTAATAAAAACACTAACGTAGAAAGATACAGTTATTACAGAATTTCATTTCTCCAAACATAAGAAGCCCGTTCCTTTTAATCTTTATGTGCCTTTTGATTAAAACATTTTAATGGTATATTCGCCTTACACATCTACCTTTAGCGATCTTATTTCACGTCTAGATTGCTTATTTATTCTTATTATTATTTATAACGCGATTGCTTCTTATTATTATCAAAATAAAGCGAACAAATCATGCCAACATCAGTCTAAAGAAGTTGTTTTGTTAGTCTAAAGAATGTTTACTACCTCAACCTATCTATCTAATATCTGGCTTTCGCCTGCGATTTTGTCCGTATGAAGTTCAAATGTATGTAGCCTGTGTTCTTTCATACTATCCTCTACATCTATGCCAAATTTCATTGATATCCGTTCAGCAGTTTAGGCTACAAACTGTAATAAAAATGCATCCGTCGAAACTTTCACATTTAGAGCGGGTGACCTTTGACTAAACTATCGCACAACTAAAGCGCGATTGTCGATTGTTTCGCAGCGAATTTAAAACTCAAGGAGTAGTGTGAGCAACTACTCATAAGCTCGTAGGAATCAAAGCGAGACCGAACAGTTCTGCGATAGTTTAGTGTGCAGGCGATTTAAAATGCTAGTAAGATTACAACTAACATTGTGGATTCACGTAGCAGATATATTTCATTTCATCGTTAATTCACTCATCAGATTTACATTATACTTAGAACAAAGGAACTACTAATCATCTGTGAAGACGGTGCGAATTGCGAAACCTGTCTTGTAATTAGTCAGACATTGTCTTATATCAAACGTAATGAGCTTCATTTGATGTAAAATATATGGAAATTGTAAGATTTAATTATATTACAAGAAAAAATAATGTAACTACTCGTATACCTTGACTTTCGTACATTTAAATCTATCAAACTAATATTATAAATGCGAAAGTTTAGATGGATGGTTTGTTAGAATTTTTAGTCTAAACGGCTGAACGGATTTCGATGAAATTTGGTCTAGATGTAGAGGATAGTCTGAAAAAACACATGGGCCATTCACTTATTTTAATTTCACGCGGACGGAGTCGCGTTGCGAAAGCTAGTTTCTTAGTAGAGAAGGGGCAAGAGCAGCGGGAAAGATGTTCATCGACGTCCATAGACATCCGCAATACCAGAGGATCTGCAGATGCGTTGCCGGACTTTAATTAGGTGATATGCTCGCTTCTTGAAGGACCCTAAGTTGTAGCGGTTTGGAAATCCGTCGAAGACAGACGATTCCACAATTCATATAATTATAAATCTACGATGCGACAAAATAATTTAGAAAACTACTTAACAGTGGTAGAGCCCGCTTTAACATCTTAGTACTGCAGGGCCGGCTCGCCCCCAGTAATACACGACCACACAGAAGACTGGCGTAAAATGGAAGCAATTTCGTGTTTCGTCTGATGAGTGTGGTGCCGGAGGCCTAATTTTAGTCGCTTTTCCTTTACACCCTTTTCTTAAAAGGAAAGAATTGAAAGGAAAAGTGGATTTGACGGTGGAGGAGACGCATATGAAGGGGAAATGTCCTCTTAATGTGCGTCTCCTCCTCCGTCAATTAAGTGTAGGCAACGCATCCGCATTTGCGGACGTTTATGGGCAGCGGTCGCTTTCCATTTCGGTGGATTCAGGTGGCCGCTTGCTCGTTTGCCACCTTATATTATAAAAAAAAAGAAAAGCCAATGCTTGGATATAAATGCAGTTAAATATGTAAATACGGCACGATTTTCTTGCGCAAAATCACAATAGTGTTGTATGTTTGATGCATAGATATACATAATTTCTTTCGTTTCTCCTACGATCAATTTTAAAGTAGGAAATCAATTATTAAATTATTCTATAACGAATTGATTTTAACTTCGTGGATTTTGTTATTTTTGTTTAGTTTACTTAAGAATAATGTCGGAATTGTTCTTAGGAGTTATGTTTACTTGTTTTGTTGGTTTAAAAGGAGCAATTAGACAAGAAGTTTTTGGCCAACAATTTATAAGTAATGTATAAATTTGTCTTCTTTGAAACATGAAATGTATAAAATGTTTGCTTGCGAAATTAATTCCGTCAGATACACCGACTTTAGTACAAATAGCTTTTTGAAAAGAGCGTGTTAAAATCTAAATAACTGGATTATTCCCAGCGATCACCCCGCACTGTCCCCACGTGAGAATAAAAAGTTTCATCCGTCCCACCTTATAAGCCCACTATCACCAATAAGGTGACAGTTGGAATCCGGTATGAAGTATAATGTTCTAGCCATCCCCTCGTCGCAAAAGGTGGGACGGATGAAACTTTTTGTTCCCATCTGTTCCCACGTGGAGACAGAGCGGGGTGACGATTGGGAATAATCCGAATAATTATCATGTAATTTAAAAGCGCATAGATTTCGTCAAAAAAAATTAAATTTAGTGCATCAATCTGGTAAGTCTAAGTATAGTACGAACTTAAGTAGTCTATCGTAATCTAAGGGTATTCTCATTTTTTTTCGCGTAACATTAACTGGCTTAAAAAAGCAATATCTCCCAAGGACTGAGTATAAATAAATCAAGGCAGGTATCCTTCGCAATAACAGTAAAATTTTAATGCTGTAAATTCCTTCGTTTTATCGTTCTTTTACACAACGCGTAAAAAATAATAAGTTCATTTTAATACACCGTCTTATTGTTTCTAAAATAGAAAATAACGGATTTTACGATAGCGATGTGACGTCAAGGTTATCCATACGTGAAATTGCACCGACACGAGTGTCGGTCTATTTCACACGGTAACATTTTCCTGATGTATCCGTAAAATATTATTTATTTTTATACGATTGGTTTCACAAATCTCAACACATTTATGTAACTGAGAGTTTACTTTGAAACGTGTATTTAGAAAGCATAATATTATAGATACTAGCTGTTCCCGTGCGACTTCATCCGCAAGTAATTATGAAAATTTTATTTTATTGTTTACATTTGTCAAATTGACATCACTAAATGTCAAAATGACACGACATTACAAACCTTAGCAATTTTTTTTCTTGATATTGGCAGCAACTTATGGTCTCTTTCCCACATTAAAGTTTTTATCTAAAATATTAACCCCCTAAGTTTAACGGCGTGAAAATATATAGCCTAAAGCGTGACGTATAGGGCTTTTTATCTAAAAAAAGAATCATTCAAAAATATGCTGTAAATGCTGACATCTTAGGCAACAAAGAAGTGTGCGTTTACGCTTTATTATAATAGTGTAGATTAAGAGCGGGAGCACACTTTTGACTAAACTATGAAACAACTGTTGTGCGATTGTCGATTGTTTAGCAACCAATTCAACAGTTTACCACACAACTAAAAATCAAGTAGTGTGCGCACCTTCATATAAGCTCATAGGAGTCAATAGCAGGCGATAGTTTAATCAAAGGTTTGTGCGCTCTAAAACGAACAAGATGACATACAATAGGTATTAAAAAAAACATTGTGGATATACACATGGATATTACTTCTAAACCTACCCATTAAAAATGGATAACGTTCGTAGCATTAGTATATTAAAAAACCGTGTTAATCTAGAAGGCGGCACACAAGATGAGATAACATCACACCGCAACACGCTGGATGATGACGTGGATGATCTTCAACCCCAACTTGACCAGGAAATTATAAATAGGCTTCTACGTATCGGGGTAAGACTAGGATCACTGTGAAGGTCGTATAAATTCATGAACGAAAGAAATTATTCTTCACAAATTCTTATAATCATACTAATATTATAAATGCGAAAGTTTAGATGGATGTTTGTAAGAGTTTGTAACCTAAACGGATGACTAGATCTGGATGTAATTTGGTGTAGATGTAGAGCATAGTCTGGAAGAACACAAAGGCCACTTATTTTAGGTTTTTTTAATTCCACGCTGACGGAGTCGCGGGCAAAAGCTAGTCTTAAAATAATAAAACTAATGACGCACACTTGAAAATTGAGAAATTTATTTAGGCTACAGTCAGTTAGGTTATCAAGAATATACATGCAAATTTTCACATTTATTCTTGTACTAGTTGTTGCCCGCGACTTCATCCACGCAATAATAAGATAAAAAAGTAGCCTATAATATACCCGTCATTGTGAGCTACCCCTAGCAAATTGCGGACAGAAAGACAAAAAAAAATTAATTGCGATTTTGGTTATTAGCAACGCAAATCTTATCGAAATCTGGAATTTTACTTTTCATGTTACAGACACTCCAATTTTATTACATGTATAGATATAGATATAGTCTTCTGGTATTGTTTTTTTGATAATTTAAAATTAACTATGTATTCATTCCAGAAATTCAAATACAAACCCGGAGGAGCGTTGGACAAATGGTTATCAAGACCAATCTATTATCCGTTTATTATTAAAAATGATATATTAAATCCATAATTTAAACTAGAAAGATTCTGATTAATGATTTATCAACCATTTAAATATACGTATAGAAAATATATCTCATGTCTTGGACATGAGGTTTTATCGGTATTAGTCTAGTAAAGAAACATCAAATTATGACATTGTATAGTTTTGTAATTTTTTAATGAAATAAGAATATTTTCCTATCATTAAGCGGTTGCGTAAAACGAACGGCAAAGCTCTGCGTATCTCCGTAGGGACTTCTCAATTTCTGTGCGGCGGCTATCGCCTCCTGTAAAGTTAAAAAAATTTATACAACAGAATAAAAAGGCCTAATTTTAGTCTGTTTCCCTTTCCATCCTTTTCTTAAGATACAATGGGAAGGAAACGTGGATTTGACGGTGGAGGAGACATATAGGAAGAGGCAATATCGTCTTTAAATGTCTCCTCTGTTGATTAAAGGTAGGCAACGCATCTGCAATTACAGATGTCTATGAGCAGTGCTCGCCTCGCCATTTTAGTGGTTTCAGGTGACAGCTTGCTAGTTTGCCACCTCAATAATAAAAACATAATCTAAAATGCAATGTATAAACAATTAACTATAATAGGACCGTCTCTATTAATCATCGGCAAGATCAGTTTTGCAAATTTATTGAATTTTAAATAAAAATAAAACCACTTACCCTTTGAACTGGTAAACTTCTTGCACGTACCAACCAAAGTACTGATTCAGTGCACGGTGGCGCGGTCAATGACCCCTGGTAACTCGCATAGTCTTTGAATCGCGGTACAAAATAACTCAATGGGTGCAAAGCAGCGGAATTATTGAAAGTGCTTTGCTTTCTTAGGACACTCAAAACTTCCCGCAATCCTTTTTGTGTGTGATCTTCGAACTAAAAAAAATTGATCTTGAAACATAAAATAATAAATAATTGTACTTTGAATTACATGTTATAAAAGAAAGAAAGAAAATGTTAAGAATTAATGTGGATGGCTACAAAGGTAGAGGAAGACCGAAGAAAGTATGGATGGATTGTGTGAAAGAAGACATGCTTAAGAAAGGAGTGGATTCAGATATGACGGCTGATTGAGATGTATGGAAGAGCAGCACATACTGTGCCGACCCTTCATAAGGGATAAGGGCAAGTTGATGTTTTATAAAAGAGCTAAAGATTCTTTCATAACGAGATAAAGTTAGACGATTAAGAAATTAAAGAGATTTCACCAGATATATATTTAACTGGCAAGTCAATTAAAATGAAATATGAATTTTACGACGATCTTAAGGGGGCGTTGAAATAAAACATTCGCTTAATTGAAACGTCAATTCCGCTAAAGTTGTGACAATCGCGAGCTTTAAGAGTCCACGAAAGCGATTAAAAGTTTAATTAGTTACGTAATGAACAAACGGCGGTTTATTTTCTTTATTTGTACAAAAATAAACACAACTTCCAGTACTAATTTCTGAGTTTTTACATGCTAAAGTTAACTAAGCAAAACTAGTTAAAACATCAACATTAAAAAGGTATTTCACCTTATAAATATTGACGATACCAAGAAATGCTTGAGGATCACTCGGGGCTGCATCCAAAGCTTCCTTCATTGACCCGTATTCAGCAGATATATGCAATGCTTGACTCTCCATAGGGAACTGTAGCCCTCCTATCGTGTGCTCCGAAGGCCATACAAAGCTCAAGGAATGGAAAATATACCGTCGACTATGTGCAGCTCCGCCGTACACCAGCGGCATACGGTTGCGATCCCACTGACCAAATAATACCACTGCAAAACAAATTGGTCATTAAAAGTTATGACAAAGTAACGTTACAAATTGTCCATTATTTTTTTTAAATACTAGTAGATTTTTGTTAATCTATACTATTATAATAAAGCGTATACACACACTTCTTTGTTGCCTAAGATGTCAGCAATTACAGCACATTTTTGAATAATCCTTTTTTTAATAAAAAGCCCTACACTTACGTCACGCTTTAGGCTATATGTTTTCACGCCATTAAACTTGGGGGTAAATATTTTGGATAAAAACCCTAATGTGGGAAAGAGACCATAAGTTGCTGCCAACGTCAAGAAAGCAAGGTTGCCATGGTTTGTCATCATGTCATGTCAATTTGACATTTGCAATTGATAATTTGACACATGTAAACAATATAATAAAGTTTTCATAATTGTACGCGGATGAAGTCGCACGGGAACAGCTAGTTTACTTATATTTCCTTTTACCATACCAACTAAGATCTAGCCTTGTGCTAGGATATGGTTCACGACAATAGTCGAATGGCGGCATTTGAACCCTAGACCGCAAAATCGGTAGTCCACACCCCAAACCATTAGGTTATTGACGCTTAATTGTAACAGAATATCACAATTCTATATTCTACAATTCAAATTTGCTCGATTGTTACACACTGTTACAACAAATCTGTTACAAGTTGTTTGCATTCACTTTATTTCTAAAATTTTAATCACACAGAGAATATAACCTTTGTGATTTATTAAAAACAAAAGCGTTCTCTGATCTATTATATTTACTTAAGCTAACAATACCAAGTTTACATAGCTAATTAATTTTAGCAAGCGCTTTACGTTGTTAAAACTCCACCACTATTTTTCCTTTTATAAATCCTTCATTTACAACCAGTGTTATAAAGTGGATTTCATACTTCAGGTTTGTACTGAATAAAATAAATCAACAATCACTATTTTGTTTGTATGACACGTCCATACGTCGCAGTGCAGTTGACAATGCTTGCGTAACAATAACTACTACAGCTTTGTAACCTAACAGAGAGATAAAATACGGGGTAGAAATAAAAAAAATTCAGCCAATCATTACAGTTGTTAAAAGTGAAAGACTTCGGAAACTGGGCGCTAAAGATTAGAAACAATAAAAGTAACGTATTTTCTTACCCCGTTTGCCATCATTCTGAACTGTTATTTTCTCCGGGTAAAGGTCATAGTTGGTGAACAGGAGACGCCGACCGCCTTTCGCCTTGACGAATCCTTGCAGCGGTAGATCAACTGGTGACTGAGATCGACCTCCACAATCAGGGAACATCTTACCCCAGTCATTTTGATCTGATGAACAAATAAGAAACTAGTTAAAGTGGTCATGTTCTTTTACCTTTATTTGAATTTAGGAGAATATTATATTTAGATAAATGATATAGTAAGATATTGAACTATTTAAGCAAAAAAATTATATACAATTCGTTAGGTTAATAAAATGTACTAAGGTTAGGTTAGTCGAAGAATATTGTAGAAAGAAAGAATACCCCTAATTCATAAGTTCATAAAACCTATGGTTGGTAAATTAAAAAAATAATGACTTACTTTTGTAATCCCATTCAGCGGCGGCTTCAACTAAAACAAATTACATTATTTATTACGTTTTACACCATACTAATCATACTAATATTTACTTCATCATTATCATCTCCTTATCCTACTCCCGTAGGGTCGGCTTACTTATTTATTTATTTACTAATATTATAAATGGGTGTTTGTAGCCTAAACGGCTGAACGAATTTCGATGAAATTTAGTATAGATGTAGAGATAGTCTGGAAGAACACATAGGCTACTCACTTTTGTTTTTTTTTTAAATTCCACATGAACGGAGTCGTGGGCGAAAGCTAGTTATACATAAAACTTATAACTACTGTGTACGGATTGTGCGAAAGAGGATATGCTTAAGAAGAGAGTAGATTCAGATATAACGGCTGATAGAAATGTATAGAAAAGCAACACATTGCGCCAACACTCCGTTGGGACAAGGGCAAGTGGATGGACAGAATACAGTGCTTTTTGTTCTAAAAAACAATCGTTTTTTTAACTACGGAGATTTTAACAATCAGTAGAAACAACTCTCACCTTGAACCAAACGTAATATAGAAAGGCAAATGTAATTTAAAGTGTCAACAGATATTGATATTTACCAGGTTCTGTCTTTGTATTATTCTTAATTAGTGTTTTATCTTGATGATCCTGCGGAAAAAATAATAAAAAGCACAAATTAAAACATTAAAAAAATAATTTACTCGACCCATATTTATAAATCGACAAATTATTTAAAACCAGTAAGCAACAAACAAAACGCAAGACGATCACAAACATTACACCTCGACTTTTCCATTCAAGTACTTTATACAATCAAATTAAAGTCCCTTTTTCTTACCACCCTTTTCTTTTAAGGGAAAGTGGATTAGACGGCAGAGGTGATAGTGCATAGTAAGGGGAAATATCCTCTTTATGTGCGTCTCCTTCTCCGTCAATTAAGAATAGGCAATGCATCTGCAATTGCGGATATCTATGGGCAGCGGTCGCTTCGCCATATTTGCGGATTCAGGTGGTCGCTTGCTCGTTTGACACCTTATATTATAAAACAATATCCCTCAAATATGCAGAATACTGAAACGACATTGATTTATGAAACATCATATAAATGATAGGGTCACGATTAAACTACAAATTCATTACGAAGCGAAGCGAATTGTTTCAAATTCGTTTTAGTAGTCGTTAGTGAAATAACCTCAAGTGCAGTTGTATTATTAAAAAATATAGTATAAATTATTTCAAACACTAACAGCGCTCCTTGGCCGTCGTGACGTCACTAAATACGTGATGTCTGGGAACGGTGTGGGCAAATGGAACACCCAGATTGTTTTAGGCTGTAAAAAATCATGAAATACATTAATGCGATACTGATACTATGTGTTGAAGAAAATTGTGAAAATACACTGTAGTTTAATATCTTCCCTCTTCTATATTTGTCTACAAAATGAGAAATGTTTTAATTACTGTTTCTTGTCTATCTAATAAAAATAGTTTTAGGTCCAACAGAAAATGAAGGAGAGCAGAGATAATCTTACTAATCTTACTTCTTGCTTAAGTATATTCTAACTTATACTAAAAATGGGAAAGTTTAGATGAATGGATGGATGTTTGTTACTCGTATCTTGAGAAGTACTCAATGGATCTTGTTCAAATTTGACAAAGATGTAGAACAGAATCTGGAAGAACACATAGGCTACTAATTACTTTTTAAGAGTCGGAGTCGTCAGAGTTTGTGAACAAATATGGAATTAAAAAAAACAAAAAGTACGTGTCATTTCAAACTATCCTCTACATAGATCCGTTCAGGAATTAGGCTACAAATACAAACAAACATCCATCCCTTTTACCATTAGCATTTATATCAGTAATATAAAAATAATTATTTCGTAGATTTAAACATATACAATAGTTATATTTAGAATTAAAAAAGTCTCACTTTTCCTACTTTTAATTTGTCTCTCGCTTCATTATCGAGCTGTTTCTGCAGATCGTCCGCGTCGTCGTACAAATTATTGGCACGTGAAGTTGTTTGATCTTTGGTTTCTTCTTGGTTATATTTTCCTAAATAAGTATCTGTTTGGATAAAAAAGGGTTTTACAAACTTCTTCAACAAAGAGCAAGGTAGATAAAGAGCGAATAAATACTTCAAATCAATCGATACTTCTATCTATACTATTATAATAAAGCGTAAACACACACTACTTTGTGTCTTAAGATGTCAGCAATTGTAGCATATTATTGAATAATTCTTTTGTTAATATATAGCCCTACACTTATGTCACGCTTTAGGCTATATATTTTCACGCTATTAAACTTAGGGGGTAAATAAAATTGAAAAAACCCTCATGTGGGAAAAGGACCATAAACTTCAAACTACCAACATTATGGAAGCACGGTTATTATGGTAAAGGTCATTTTGGCATTTGCAATTGAGAATTTGACAAATGTAAACAATAAAATTAAGTTTATTTATAATTTCATGCGGATGAAGCCGCACGGGAATAACTAGTTACGTATATACCAAAGAAATAAAGATAACGCAACTTAAAAAACAATTGCATTTTAACTAACAAACCTTTTAATTTATCGACATACGTATCACTAACTTGTATTAACAATAATATCCATAAAACTTTGCATATGTCAGCCTCATTAAACACCATAACATAGCAATATCTCTTTGAACGGTAAAGTGACGCATAAAAATTATATTTTCCATAAAATTAACACATTTAAAAATACAACAAGAAAAACTTAAATTATTAATCCACAAGAATTATTTTATAACCTATTTGTTTGACGTAATGTCAATTATTTTTTTCTTACATTTAATGGCTGTTTGAGGTTATAATTTTCTATAGAGGTTTTAATTTAATCAATGCAATATAATACATACAAAATATCGGTAACCATGCAGTAAATTGTTACAACGAAGTTTCTGGTTGCGTCTCTGATATTGTGAAATAAGTATTTTAGAGGAAGTTTGAAAGTAGCTCCTGTAGAGTAGAAAAGGTAAGAAGTAAAAGGTTAGCATGGTATGGGCATGTTATGAGGAGGGGTGAATCGCTTTAAGAAGGAAAACGTTAGTTATGAGTGTGGTACACCGGTCTACCGGTCTATCTCTAGGTAGACCTAGAATGAAATGGATGGATTGAGAAAGGTGACATGATCAAAAAGGGAATGACTGAGATGACGTATGAGAGAGTTATGTGGAGGACAAAAACCTGTTGCGATGATAATGTCTTTGATATTGTTATATTTTAATTATTATACTAACGCCGGTCAAATAGTTTGTATAAAATTATTGTAACTTCATTTAATATCTTACAAGAACATATCACTTAAGGCCTAGTTTACATTATTCCACACCAGCGCTGGATTGCTAGATTACAACAATGTAGACTGGACATAAAATCAACGTGTACAAGGTTAAGTAAAGTACACGATAGCAAATATTTTTCTAATGGTATTAGATTGATAACGAATTGCTGTTGTCAAATATTATCTTAAGTTGTTGATAAACGTAAATAGTTTAGATAAATTGTTTGAAAGAAAAGGTCTTTAAGTCAACAAATAACACTGGGAAAAAAGTTGGTATTTTATTTAATTACATTTCGCTATAATTAAGGAAAAAAAATCGTACATAAGATATAAAAATGTAAGAATAAAGTTGAGTAATATGAGCTACGGAAGTAACCGCTTTTTTTGTAAATAATCCGTTACTTTTCCTCTTTTTAATATCTAATGTCATAAGAATGATTGATGCAAAGTAACGGAATGAACATTGATTTAAGATGTGTTTCCATGGTGCGTGATTTATTTAAACACGACACGTTGCACCGTAGGAACAGCGTCGCATCCACCACTAACAAGTCTGTGAACATCCAGCACAGTCGACATGAATGGGGTACTTCGAGTAAGTAGTAAATCCGTTATCGTTTTTATTTGCCTTTTAAAACGACAATCGTTTGAACATCTTAAGTTGAATGAATGGTTAGTTAATTTCGTAGTTTGTAAAACAACAAGCAATTTTTTGTAACAAGATCACGAAGGCGATTTTACAGTCGTGATCAATGCACGATCGTCTGCGTGTACCGTGGAATCCCACCTTTATAGCTGCACGCACGTGGGCGGTTATCTTATCATTTTCGGACGCAAGCCAGCGCTGGCTTATCATAGTTTGACACTGTAATCCTGTAGGATAAAAATGATAGATCAATATTACTAGACTAATTCCTATTATGTAACGAAATGTCTACATTAAAAATGTAATATTTTACAATAGTTATTTTTAAGAAGCTTTTATTGTACGTGAGAAACAATGTGTTGTCTTGTAAAGTTTGATTGTCGTTGAGATTTAGAAATAACTTTCTCGTTTGATTATAAATGAATACGTAAAACAGGAAAATAAAATGATTCCTAACTTAAGAAATAAATTTTGGATTTTAAGCAAGAAGTGAGCACATTACTTAAATGAAAAAAGAACATATTTACTAGTATCTTTAAATTAACAAAGTTACTTTTTAAGTTTGTAACTAATTAATTTTAATGTAAACAATGACGCATTTACATACATATTATATATAAAGAATTATTCTAAAGAATGTGGTATGTTATCAATTTTCCTAAGCCAATCGTATTTTTTTGATAAATCGACCCTATATCTAATCTTATTGATTATAGTTTTAACTTTGAAACAATTGTTTTCTTATAGAAATCCAAAGTGAAACGTGTCTTGTGTTACGTAAAGTGAAATAAAAAAATGGTTAATAAAATAATCAAGTTGTATTTACCATCTATAAATGTGACGTCGTCAAAAACAGTGTCCGAAGGTAAGTAACATGTTACAACAGCCTTACAAATAAACGCCGTAACTATAAAGGTAAAACTGAGTATAAGCATAATGTCTACTACTATTTGCTTATACTCAGTTTATTCCTAAGTTTTTTTTTATAATATAAGGTGGCAAACGAGCAAGCGGCCATGTGAATCCACCTTAATGTAAAGCGACCGCTGCCCATAAACGACCCTATTGCAGATGCGTTGCCTACCCTTCCCATGCGTCTCCTCCACCGTCAAATCCACTTTTCTCTCCCATCCTTTCCTCTGAAGAAAAGGGTGGAAAGGAATAGAGACTAAATTAGGCCTCCGGCACCACACTGATCAGACGAAACGCGGAATTGTTTCCACTTCACGCCTGTCTTCCGTGTGTTCGTGGTATTACACCGGGCCAGCCGACCCATTCGTGCGAAGATGTTAAAGCGGGCTCTACCACTGTAAACTTAACTTTATAACGCGTTTATTTCTAAGGTTGAAAGTGTTTAAAAAGTCACCATAACTAATTTTCTATAATGTCTCATGAAATATCTGAAAATGGAAATCTTTTTATTTCGTTTTTTTATGGGAATTAATCTTGGTTTAATAGGAATTATATCTTGAGTCAAATTTTGAGTTGAAAATTATTAGAATAAAGTGGCTTTCATTTCATTAACTATAGAGGAAGTTCGCCATTTTGAAGATCAGGTTATCGACATACTATGTTAAATTAATTGTTAAAATATTTTTTACTAAAGAAAGATATTTTAAATAAATTTAATAAAACAGTAAATTTGTTTATCTTTTAAAAATAATTTTGTTCTTTTCTAAGATAAGATTCTTTTATATTCTGTAACATTAGCTTATTAGCAAAACTTAGTATGTAGAAACCATAATGCTCCACTTTTATGTTCACAGTCTTATTAAAAGTTTATAAAATAGCTAGCTGTAGCTTGCGATTTCGTCCGCGTCGAATTAAAAAAAAATATATAGCTTATGTAACTCACAGATAAACTACCTTTTAACGGTAAAGGAATTACGAAAATTGGCCTAGTAGTTTTCAAGTTATTTCAATATATACAAAAATACAAATCTTTCCTCTTTATAATATTAGTATAGATTGTCTCTACACTATCCTACAATATAAAAATAGGAATTTGTGTCTAAAATGTTTGGACTGAAATATCTAGTGGTTATCGGTTTCTCCACCGTTGGTAAAAAGAAATATTGTTAGTAAGCGAGACTCGTAAATTCGTTTTATCTCAAGCACCAGTTAATCGTCAGTCAATTTATAAAATATCTCAAGGGAAAAGATTACTTATTTAACTACTGTCCTGAATTTTTCGGAAACGCTTAGGTTGTTTGAAATTAAAAAATGATTTTGCATTTTAAGACAGTTAAAGTACGAGGCATTTTAAACAGATTGTACTAGGATGCCATAAATTACTAGTAATAACATAACTTCTAGACTTATCCATAGATTTGACAATTGCATAAACAGCTTTATGACACTAGGGTAACAATAAAATACGAGTACATATTTTTTATTACACAACTGTTAACAGCACTTTGTTATTGAATATCTAATATTTATGGGCGTTTTAAAATTACATGACCTTCTGCCATACCATACTCACAAATTATTTGTTCACTAGCTTTCGCCCGCGACTCCGTCCCCGCGAAATTAAGAAAGAAACAAGTCAGTTGCCTATGTGTGCTTTTAGACTCTAGACTATCCTCTGCATCTACCAAATTTCATTGAAATCCGTACAGCCGTTTAGACTACAAACTCTAACAAACATCCATCCATCCATACATCTAAACTTTTATATTTATAATATAAGTACATTAGTATACGATTGAAGAAGTCCCTTAATGTATATTTGTACAAAAATGTTATGTTTTATAATCTGTACAAAAATGTACAGATTATAAAACAACGACCTATTTAATACAGATACTACATGATCCTCCTTTTTTTATCAGAAGAGAAAAACAATACCTTATTTAATACAGATACAGATACTACAAAAGTCACTATTCATGGTTGCTTTCAACCAATAGTTACAAGAAAAAAAAGCTTTACGGTAACACGAATTACTAAAAGATTTTAACGATTTCTTTATCTTATCAAGATTTTATGGGGTCTTCCGAAAAAGAAACGGGTACTTCCCCGAACGCATATTTTAGATTTACGATTTCGTGGTAATTAAAAAATAAGTAGTTAGTCTATGTTTGTGTTCTTTCTGACCTTGCTCTATATCTATGCCTTTCATCGAGATCCGTGGAACCGTATTATCGGCAAAATCTAACAGATATCTTTCCAAACTTTGTAATTTAGAAAATTAGTAAGACAATATTATTTTCATTTCCAGCTGAACAAATATCAAAATTGCGAGCATCACAGTCTCCAATAGCGATCTCCGTGCACCGATGCCCGACCTGGTCTTCTCTCGATCCTTTGCAATTTCGAGGATACTGGGACAACTCTGCTAATGGCACTTTACTTAATACAGGACAAACAGGTTGCGTTTTACAATATATCTGTTGATGACAAAACAGCAATTTATCCTGACATTAAATTATCGATAACTTGCTATCAACGTAAAGAAATTAGTGACCACATTTAATGTTCCATGACATTCTGGAGTAGAAGAAATTGACTTAACTCTTCAATGGTTTTGGCATTCATTTTAATCAGTTAGTTTCAAAGTTGAGTTGTATTTAAAAACTAGCTGTTCCCTGCGACTTAGTTCACGCAATATTAACATAAAAAGTAGTCTATAATATGACCGTCTATATCAGCTACCCTTCAGTGAAAGTCTGATCGAAATTGGACCAGCCATTACGGAGATTATCCGAAACAAACGAGGCTTGTGGGCAGATAAAAATAATTTAAATGCGATTTTCGTTATCAGCAACGCTAGTATCTCTTCCCGAAATCTGGAATTTTTCTCTTTATATTACAAACAGACGCTTCTATTTTCTTATATGTATAGAATAGATATAATTTTCTTTCCGCAGCATACTTCACATTTGATTCTTCCGCGCGTCCACGGCTCAGTGGTGGGCCACTTATTGGGGAATACATTTTCGAACAGATGCATTTCCACTGGTCTGTAGACGATTTTACTGGCTGCGAACACGTATTGGATGGACACGGGTTGGTGTAAATTATTACTACTTGGTGCATTGACCGACATTTCAAGCGTGCATACCTGAAACTATATTATCGCACAATTGTTTAATCCTCGCTTTGATTCTAATGATTATATGGTGTTGCACACTACTCGATTGTTAGTTGTGTAACTAAACAGTTAATTTGGCTGCGAAACAATCGACTAAAATCGACAATCACAATGGGGATGTTTCCTAATGTTACAAATCCAAATAAAGTTATGCTTAATATTTTAAAGACAGCATTTTATAACCTATAATAACATTTAGAAACCTTGAATGTTTGTCTCAAATTAAATATAAATTAAAAACGCTGCAATATTTTTTACCCTCCATTACTCGATCTCAAACACCAATGACGTC